AAAAGAATGAACATCTCCATTCTCCCACCCTCCCATTGGGAAGGATTAAGGAAAAAAATGGAAGTCTCGGGAGAAGGAGTGGATGTGCTGCTTGCTCCCTTCAGCCTTCCCTTGCTCTCCCCGCGGGGCAGGAGGCGCTTGGCTTCCATGCTGAAGACCCTCTGTTTCCACGCAGCTGTCTTGCAGAGAGATGATGGACGTAACAGGTTAAGAGCATTACCATGCGGGAAAAGTTCATGGTAACAGAAACCCAAGCATGAACTCTTCACTGGTGTCATGATGGACATGGTAATTGAAGGTACATGTGTTGCGTGTGCTATAGATAGGACAGGATACGTGCAACAGAAAGAACACTCACTGACAAAGAGGATTTATTCCTCTCAAACCCTTAACTGTTCCGCAGCAATGTTTTAACAGGGAATGGTATTTCAAAAAATCACAGTTCCCTAAGTTCACCTACTATAGCTAACGTATTTTTATATTTATGCTTACGTATTATAATGAGGTTTGCTTCGTTTGTGCGTATTTAAAAAAGCAAAATGATACTGATTAAATATGTTTAGTAAAGATGCAAAGATCACATAAAGCTACAATTATAGTATAAATTGTAGATGAAAATAGAATTTCAAGGCCATTTCGGTGCAGGATTGAGGTAACCTCCTTTCTGTTGCAGATCAAGAATAAACTGAATATACCAACTGTGGGATTATATTTTTTAATGTGGATGTTTTCATGGTATGCAAAGTCTGCAGTTTTAAACATTTTTAATTTTTCCTCTTTTTAATGATCACAACTATGCCCTCAGTATCAGAACACAGATCAGAAGTCCCTATTTAAAAATTCAAGGTATTTTAGCCTTTACTAGGAGGGAAACAATGTTTTCTTTCTGAAGTTAACACTAATTTGGCTGTCAACATTAAGTGCTTGAATTTTACACTGTAAGTAAATGATTCCATAGGTTCAGAGTTAATAGGCTGCATTTCCTTTAAATACAAAGTTTTATTTTTCTACAAGCCCCACCAATAGTTGTAACTGTAAATTACTCAAAAAATAGGGTGTACATATTGGAATGAGCCTGACATTTTTTTAGTATTGGATTTTTCAAGAATTAAAATGATGTTATTCAAAATTATTATCTGACACACTACCCAAGAATTTATTTAAACACACAGGCAAAAAAATATCTAATTGCACTGTACTGGAATCACAAAGATTGTTACGGCGTCTAATCTTTAAAATAATTGGGAACTTTTCCTAAACAAAAAGTTTAGGACTAGGAAAAATGATTCCTACTAACAAAAGCCTGGTTTTAATTCAGAGCAGAAAGGTTGCAGCGTGCAAAAATGCATTGTAGCAGTTTATTGTCCCACTATAAAATTACATACACAATATGCTTTTGCCTTTGAAATGCATTTTAAGTATGCCTTTACAAGCACTTTTAAGTATCTGTTCTTATTTCAAGCTAATAAAACAGAAATGCAATCATTGTGTGGTATCTATATAACCCTGCCTGGCCTAAGAAAAACCTACGGCCCATCCACCTGCAGCAGCAGATGACACTGGAAGCAGAAAGTCCCCATAAACGCACAGGCGGTTTGAATACAACTCCTGCAACCCACCTGCAAGCCGCTCATAGCGGACGTGGACTTAAGACTAGGTCCTAAGTACATTTTATCACGTTAATTTTCAAATCTCTGCTGGGCCTATAAAGAGCAGTACTAGTTAGCCTTATCAACTTCAAAGTCTCGTGACAGTTCCAGGCTACAGCCACACAAACTCGCTTTATGAGCGAGCAACCAAAGCAATTTCCTCAGGCAGCTTTGCATCTTCTGCTTCCCCGTTCATTTAATTTCTTTTTAAACGAAGAGGAAACGGGGGAGATTTTTCCCTGCGAAAGGACAGCGGAGCACCAAGGAGTCTGACTATTTTGAGATCTAAACGCCTGAAATGAGGGTCCTCTGCCACTGGCTCACACGACTCCCTCACCAAATATTCTAGAAATAAGCTGATTTCTATACTCAACTTCAGCGCGTGGCAGGATCTCTCAAACTTGACTGTATGCAAACGCTGGGGTTAATTATCAGAGAAGTGTGAAAGGGGAGAGGGATTTTCTAAAGGTCTGGTCTCTTTCTTCAAAGGTTTAATTTTAACCGTGCCAGTCTGAAGTTTACACGGAATCTAAATACATCTGAAAGACTTTATTCTAGAATAATTGGGATGTAATTTCAATCAGGGGCTAAAAATTTAATAACTACTTTACAAAGGTAAAAGCAAAGCAATGAAGTCATTAGTGTTCCAGTCAGGCTTCCTAGGAAAGCTTTAAGTTAAAAATCTTTTGAGAACTGCAGAAAAGAAAGAAAAGGGAGGGAGAAAAGATTAAGTAGCAGCTTGTTCTGAGAAAGAGGAGCTGATGCATCAGTGGACACTGGCAAAGTTTGTGCCCTAGCATCTCAAATTCGCTGGAAGGGGGAGCAGAGCATGTGATTACATGGCTTTGTGTTAAACTGGAAACCTCATCTTATTTTTCAATCTTCAGATTTCACAGTCTTGATCTCATTAAGCTAGCGTTCTCACATTGTAGCTGCAGTAAATGTAGTTGCTGTGCAAAAGCTGTGGAGTAATGTTGCAAATGAACGATGAGTATTTAATAATTGCCGTGGAGCTGCATTTAACTGCAGGTCTAAACTGAATTGAGTGGTCAAACGCAGTGGTAAAAACACTGCTGGCTGAAGTGATAAAAACATGTCATTAGTCCTTAAAAGCAAACACTATAATATTTTCAGTAGCAATATGGAAACTATTGCTGCTTATTTCTCAAGTTTTCCCTGTGATCAAATGTTCTAACAGATTGTTTTTTCCAGTCAGTCAAAAAAAAAGAAACTCAATTAATCTGATAGTCCTTCAGGTGAGATTTTTCTACGCAATTGCTGCCATCAAAATACAGCTGACGTGATACTTTTAGATATCAGATCAAGGGCATGTGCTGAGTACCAAACAAGTTTGCCTTAGACAACAAAAAATTATGATCACCAATGCAGTTATAAATAAATAAGATGCAAGAGCTTTTGATATTTCAGAAGAAGTTTGCAACGTTCTATGTTTGCAATATAGCACAAATTGACCAATTTTGATAAAAGATTAAACGAGGCAAGAGACTGCTTTTCTCCTTAGTGGCAGGATCCGAGAAAGAAAACGAGGAAAGCAAACTTCCAAATTACTATAAATGCCAGACAAAAATAGGAAGTAAAGTGTCAAATGATCTTTGCCATTTGTTCAGACAAAAAATAAGGAACAAAAATGAAAAACTCCCTCTGAGCATAGATATTCTGAAGCAATGTCACACATGTGATCACTTCATTTTAATCTGTTGAGAAAAGGGTAAGAGTGGAAGATTGGGGAAGTTCAAAAATACTCTTTGCTATGATAAACTTACAGTTGATTAATCGAGAGAGGAGGATTGAAATTTCCAGTAACAGTTTGATGTCACTTTAAGCAAGATTGTGCCTCTATATTTGTCTCTGACTACCTTAATCTGTGTATTTGCAGTGAACATAAGGAGGACTTTGATCAAAACACAACATGCATTTTACACAACAAGGAAGTCTACAGAGAGGCACTACATTTACAAAAGCAATTGAAGGTAGTTTCAAAGGGAGTTGACAGATTAGAGGATGATAACACTGCTGCTGCGGTCTCAATGGAAATCTGGCTTGATCTAATTAACAACAACGAACTAGAACCGCAAAAAGATAATTCAAACATGATTTAAAGAAGTTATATTACCTTTTTACTAGCATACCAATGGAGCCTTTCCCTTACTGATCACAGATCAAGTCACGGGTTGAACAGAGAACAAGAATAAAAGGCCTGATATCCTTAATTTACCTCCAGCATTTGAAATTGAAGCCTGAGATTTAGCCCAAATATTTGAGTATGGAAGTAGAGAACATCCATGTATCAACATGTAAGTGGTAAAAAAATGTAAGAGTCACACTCACAACAACTTGAGTGAATTGGGAAATCAAAATAGAAGATTATTTTTAAGCACTGACTATATGTTACCGCGTGCTCCCATGTTCAAACAGAACACAGTAAACAGAGCACAGCACGCAGGACAACTTGAAGGTTTCGTCTGACACATGCACCAGAAAGCTCCCGGGTTGTTCCCATCCCCTTTTTGTTCAGATTCCTCACCCTAGGAAAAAAAAACGCACTGGGAGGAAAACTTTGCACCAATCCTGAAAGTATTCGGGCTTGTAGTTTAAGCCCATTTAATGCCAGTGACTGATCTGTGCTGACCTTTCCGCAACTGTCCGTAGTAGGTGACTGCTCCTCCTCCGCGGCCTGCAGCACAGGCATTTCAGTGATTCTCAGTTCTGATGCACCTTCTGTGCTAAAAACACTTTTATTGGTTCTTCTGACTGATTTGTCTTCTCTGAATGACAATCGCTGTCACTAAGACGTAAGGTAACTTGTGCTTATGTGCATATATGCTTCTGTACACCCATGTATAATGACATACAGTCATCCTGGCATTTTATCATTCTGGCATTTTTCGTTGGATGCATTTTACAGGTGGGAAGTAACAGCAATGATTTACTGCATTCATAGGAAATGTGCAACTTTGCCAGGGAATGCAGAAGTCACTGCAAAATGCAGCAGCCATTTGGACACATTTTGAGTGCTGTTTGATCACCTAAAAGACAAGGAGACAGGCAAACTCCAAAGAAGTGAATTGTTCTGTTCTCCTTGCACTTATCTTCCTGATTTTTAACTTTTGCTCACAGGATTGAAAAAAAACACCACCACAAAACCAACAAACCCTCTCTCTAATTGCAACTGGTAGTTTTTATTTCCTTCTAATATTAGTAGATATAAATAATATTACCTCAATAGTCATCTGGCAACTTCAATTCAGCATTTCCTACGGTATATACCTCTTACCATATTCATTCAGGCATTTTTCCTCTTTAGTCCTCAAAATTATATACATTAGTTACCTTTGTGTCATAATTTTGTAGGCGTCTGGAAGGAAGCATTCTGTGTTCTCCATCTGGAAAGGGTCAGCATCACAAATCTTGTCATCGGTCCGTCCATAGTTAGCACTTTCTATCATAATAACATCGCTTCCTGGACACCGGAGGTCAATGGAGTAGCCTTCGCAGGAGAGTTCCCTCCTCACCAAACCAAATGGTAGCGCTGCTCGGCTGAAACCTAGAAAAAAAGAAAAAAAAAAAAGGGGGGGGATTTAGTCTAAAGGATATACTGCATTGGATTAGTCTTTTGCTGTCACAAAGGCACTAACTTCCATCAGTGTGCAAAGGAAGCGCACCGGTAAGCAGTTTGACCTGGTACCATGTTAAGTGTAGCATCTTTCATGAAACTGTCACATCCCTACAGCACTGCTGCTTTTTCCTTCATCTGGGAAAAGCAGAAATTCCTCTTCACTTCTTCTAACCCTTGCCAGGGCAGACAGTGGCACCTGGCTGCATGGCTACATTGCACGTTCCCATTCCCACCTCTTTTCTGCTTCTTTCTCCCCTCTTTGGGCACCGTCAGCCCGTGTCTGCAAGTGGGAAGCAGCAAAGCAGGCAGGATTTGCAAATGCAGAAGTGATTTAAAAAAAAAACAAACACAACAACAAAAATCAAAGCTGTAGTTCCAACTTCATTAGTCTTTCTTAATTTGTATCTTCCTTTCTCCGGGAAGAGCTGGTTGCTTTTGCTTAGCTAATTTATGTCCCCAGCATGGACATATCTGTGCCACCAGATCCAATACACCTGACAATACTTTACCTAGTTGAATTCCAGGGCTCCTTACCATGCCTTTTATGTAAATTAAACCACAGACAGGTAAGATTTGGAACAAATATATAAATGGCCAGCACAGCAAACTGCAGATGTGTACTGTATAAAACCTCCCTGTCCCTCCCAAAAATTACATATGTGTTTCAGGGAATTCTCATTTTTAACATGTTTTTTCTGCACGAGAGAATTCCTAAAAATAGGTAACTTCTCTAAGAGTAAGGAAGCAGCATCAAATGCTTTAGAAACAGATGTTTTGTCTTTTACAGACATTTCTTTATGCAAAAAATATATTGTGCCAAAAAACCAACTGTAGCTGTATACAACACTTTCTTGTACACAGCTGCTTGTGTATTGATATTAAATGAAGTACTTCTGTTTCTTAGGAAACGTGTGCATTCCTGTCTTGGAAGACAAGCCGGGTCACACAATAACATTAAATACCTATTTCTTCAAAATAGTAATTCCTTTCTAAATTTTCAACAGAATCGCAGATCTTTCCTATTTTTTAAAAAAAAAAATCATCCTAATACAGCAGCACAAGGCCATTAATATTTCAGTGCAGGCTGCAGGAGACGAGTTGTGACAGCAAAGAGAAACAGCGAGTAAGTACGGGAAGTTGGAGCTCTATGGTGTTTTGAAGGCAAAGAAAATAAACTTTTCTTAAAAAGTATGATGTGTTAGAAGAGGCAAGGAGGCAAGGATCTAAAAAGATCAAGAACAACTTGAGATAGCCCCTTGATAGCAAATTTTCACACGAACCAGACGCTGTCACTTTTTCTGCTGAATTAATGATCTGTGGATTAAAACTCCTAGTGTATGAAGATGATTATCTGTTAGGGGCTGCGAAAAAGAGCTGTGGATAATGATCACGCCAGTGTCAGGATGTGGCTCCCCGGCAGCCGGAGCCCATCTTCCCGTCCACCCCTCCTCTACCCGCACGCTCCGGCCGTCCCCGTTGCACCAGCACCAGTTTTTGTCCGACTGCTGTAGTAAACCAAGGCGAGGGGCCGGACTGACTCTAACCTCTCCCTGCTGCAGAAGAACCGATGAGGGCTCAGCGGACCAGCTCCTTGGCTGGGCGGGAATTCACCCCAGCGCAAGGGGACAGGGAAGGCCAGAACACAGCGACCGGGTCTGCCTTTACATTGCATATCCTACGTGAAATGGGGCCCATTACTCTGCCAGTATGTTTCAGTATTTGTTGATAAGGGAAGAAGCCATCTTGCTGTAGAAAGCACCACAGTTCCATCTCAAATTCGCTCCTGGCTGTCGGTTTGGCTGCACACACCACGCGCAATAGCAAACACTATTATTAGAGGCTTGCTGAAGTATCATGAGCTGAAAGCTGGAAAGAGCTAAAACACAAATCCATCACAATAACACCCTGTATGTTCCTCCCATGCAGCAAATTAATACAACGAAGACAGAAGCCGCTCACGGCTCAGCGAGGGCGTGAAATGGGCACAGAGAGGGGTACGCGCAAGCCCCCACCACACATGCATACAGCAGCGCCTTTGATTAATTACCATCACGACAGCCGCGGTGGGATCAAATATAATGCTGTTAGTGACTGCCATTCCTACATCCTCCCTGTCAAATTTAATGTCAAATTTAATGCCGTCCACATCAAGCTCATCCCTCAGCTGGCGGCAATGGTGCTGCGTCTCCTGAGCTCGGCTGGGCTTCCCCCGCCACGTGGCACGGCCGGGGGTGTCTGGCCGCCCCTTCCCTGCCTCCCACGGGTGCCCCACGTCACACGGCCCCACTTTGGGGTTTGCCATCAGCAAGGCGGGGAACAGCGGCGTCGGGGATTTTTGCGGAGAGGCAGAGCGGGGAGGGGCGGGGGTGCACAGGGTAGAGCCGCTGAGGTGGCGGTGGCTAGGGCTGCAGCGCCCGTGCAGCCGCGGGTCAGCCGGACGGATGGTCACGGGGCTGGCAGCCCCAGACAGAGCTACCTGGGACAAGCTCTGAACCCTTGCTGCAGTCCCTGCCACACAGCCTCCGCTAGGAAATACCTTGCATCCGAATACGAGACCTCCGCAGCTCGTTATGGAGATCGGCTGCCTGCAAATCTTATTTCATCATCTACGGCAACTGCTCTAAGTACTATGAAAGTGTTTTATCCTGCAATTTTTTCCCCCTGCAGGCATCCACAAGAAGTTCTGTATTAGGACAAACATTAAAAATACTAGAGCGACGTTGTTAGATCACTTCCCCGGCACCAGAGGACACACCTGAGGTTGTAACGTAGGTGTGGGATTCTCAAAAGCAGCAAGTGATAAAGCAAACCAACACAGCATGCGTTAGGTGGGGAGACTGGTCTGATGAAGCTCTATGGCACAGAGAGAATTTTAACCGAATAAAAGGAATACGTTTAAAGTCCACTAAGAAAGCTGCTGCGATCTTTGTTCTGAAGCTTTATTTGTAATCTTTTCCTATCAACAAAGAAAAAAATAAGCATATCAACAAGCAAAGTGTAATTCAATCCATCTTGCAACCCTGACAATCGAAGAAAGAACTAGTGGGAGGCCCTGTGAGCGAAAAATCAATATTGCAGCTTTGTGCCATGCAAATGTGAATACTGCCAAATAGCAGTGCTTAGGGTAAAATGAACTGTTTTGCTCCATTTTCTCCTCTCTGAACAAATGATTTTGAAACGACAGCTTTTTTTGGAGCTATAAAATGTCAGGCAATAACTCCCTGTGCTTTAGGCAAGTGATTGGAATAAATACCTCTTGGCAACAGGTGCAATGACTTAGGACTGAAATTCATTTACATTCAGGAGATAATTCCCGATAAACAGATGCACTGCCACAGGATGGAAGTCTGAACGACCGGCATCTGAATGCTACTGCCTGCTCCTGCATCATTCCACAGCTTTTTAGGCGTAAGTATGTGGCTCTGTCAATAATTACCGTTGTCACTGGTAACTTTGTATCTCCAGTGCAATTCCTCATGCATATTTTCCATACTGTTATTTTCTAACCAACCTGTGTTCAACCTGCTGCTTGCCTTACTGTACCTTGCATAAACCTCTCGCTTGGCTCTCCTCCTGCAGCTGAAATCAAGATTCCTCGTCCTCCTGCTAATTGCTTGGAGGCAAACCATGCCATGGATGACACTGCTCCTGCTGTCTGCCGCCCGGGAACGCAAAGTGCTTCCTGACTGCAAAGACCTTTCTGGTGCCCAGGCTGGGACTTCCAGCACAACCTAAACATTAACTCAAGTAAGCGCCTATTACCAAACGCAGCATATGCTGTCGCTGATTCATTCGCGTTTGTATCTATTAATCAGTGTTGGGTGTGTGGTTTTATTCTAAAATTGAAGAAGATTAATACCTAATAAGAAAAAGAGCGTGGTTTCTCTCCTGCTGACCATTTTGGTTATAGAAAACCTTCCTGGCAACCACATGTTTCCTGCACGTTTTATCTGCTCACACATTAGTTGAGTGCAGGACTGAAGGGACAAAATAAACTGCTTTTGTGAAATTGCATTTTGAAGAAAAAAAAAAAAAGCTAGAGGGGATTTTCAATGGTAATATACATTCTTTAATGCTTTGTTGATCAATCCATGTAGAAAAACACACTGAGAAAAAAATCTAAACAAAACATCACAAACAAAACCTCTCCTCTTCAGTTTACGAAATGAAAAACACAAGTCCTAAGAAAGAAATGTAACTCACAGCTGATTTTCAGAAATACGTTAAGTTCACATTTGGCTAAAAATTGTTTTATATAAGTCTGCAATACCATATTTATGGTTTTGGTTCCTTCGTAAGAAAGTATTTGTCTTTACAAAGATAACCTAAATTTGTCAAAGTGCAAAGAAAAGTTAATAATTCACAGCATCCTGCCCACTAGCGTCCCATCTTTTTGAGCTGTCAATAATAAAAGAGTGTGCTAAGTTTGGTAGATAAAAGCAAAAAGGCACCACCACATTTGAATGTTCACCCCGTACAGAGGGAAAAACAGTGGAATGTAAACAGGCTAACATCAGTACTCCTTGACATCAGAAGCAAGGAACCTTTGATTAAAACTTAAAGCGCAGAGAAAGTCAACATGGAAATATAAAATTATTTCAAAGAATGCAGATACTGGAAGAACTGAAAATCCAAAACAAATCTTTGCGGAAATAAATATATGTGTCTCTGGGAGCAAGGAAATATTGTTTCTTGTGTTATTTGGCTCTAAGAGAAAGGTCTTTTGAAAAGAGCACATCTTTTCAAACAGAATGTTTACAGTTGTCTCTTTCACAATCTCTTTTATTTTACCAAATCATGCAACATGATGATTCAAGTTCCACACAAGATGAAGTGATGCATCTCGGGCAGCATTTCAGTAATATACGTTCAACAAATGCAAAGCCCGACGAGCACGGGGCTGCGAATCCTCTCCCTCTCCCAGCGAA